GTTCTGAAGGTTGGGGGCTCTCTTGGGTTTTCTGCCCATGGCCCCCAGTTTGCAGTCTGCCTGGAGGCGGAGAGGGAGGGGCAGGTGTTCTCGGGTCTGTCCCAGAGAGGAGTCAGCGTCCCGCCTCTCTCCCCCGCAGACTGAAGGACGCCTTGGGCCAGGCCCAGGCGGAGCTGCAGGGCCTGCACCGCAGGCAGCTGGCCCTGCAGGAGGAGATCCAGGTCAAGGACAACACCATCTACATCGACGAGGTGCTGTGCATCCAGATGAGGAAGTCCATCCCCCTGCGGGATGGCGGCGACCAGGGCCAGCGGGCGGGGGGCCTACAGCCCGACGCCGTCTGCTGATGCCCCCGTGGGGCCCACACCGATTAAACCAATCGATTAAACCGGGTCACAATCCGGAGCTCGGCTCTCATTTCAGGGAGATGGGGCTCGGGCCTGGTGGGGGGTGCAGTGCTGGCTCGAGGGCCACCCATCGCCCCGCACCTCCAGAGGACAGACTTGCCGCCCGGGGAGCCATCCGCCGCCTTCCCTTCTGACCCCGCGGGTCTGGATCCCTCTTGAGACTCGCCGTCTCCCTCCTCATCACAGGCACAGGACATCCCTTGGCCGTCCTCCTCCGTCTTCCCTAGGAAACCAGACAGGGCGGGCGCTGCGGACGCAGACCCCACCCACTCGGAGTCTTACGGAGCGCAGATGGGAGCCCGGTCCCGGGAGCCCGCCTGGCCCCTGCAGGCATCTCTGGGCCCCTCTCTGCCAGAGAAGTGAAGTGGACACATGGGCCAGAGGCCGTCCAACCCCCAGGAATCAGCCGAGCGGTGGGGCCTGAGGGGTAGGTGGGCCTGGCGGCAGCTGTGGAAGATTATAGAGTACGGTGGTGGGGGAGCGCTCCCTGTTCTCCGTTGGTGGGGGCACCTGTGGGCCATGCCAGCTGCAGGGTGGGGACAGCCAGCCAGGAGGGGTGTACGCGGGGTGGGGGGGTGCTTCCTTTAGCCTCAGGAGGGCATGGGGACGGCTTCTGCAGACTGCTGCCCTCCCGAGCGTAAACAGAGAGGGCGAGTCTGCTGCTGGTCTCCAGACCTGGGAATACTCCTTGGGAAGGTTCTGTTCTTCCTTCGTTCCCAAGTACCATAAAGCCGGAGAGAGTTCAAGTCAGTCGTCGGACTGGAGGCTCTGGAGGCCACAGGGTTGAGGTTCCCGTGGGGCTCCATGAGGCTGGGCGAGCTCTCGGCAACGGTCCCCACCCCCGCCTGCGTCATTTCTGCGTGGTGTCTTGAGGCGCAGACAGTGTCCACCCTGGGCCCGACTCCCAGGAGGTTTACCATCAGGGTGTTCCTTACTTGTGCTATCAGCAGGGGGAGCCCCTAACCTGGGTGGGGAGGCCTCTCCGAGGCTGGGGACATCAGCCTCATGGCCCCCACCCTGGTGCTGAGCGTCCCCTCCCTGGAGCATCACCCTTCCCAGTGCTGAGCATCCCCTCCCCCCCACCATGTTGAGTGTCAACCCCTGCCGCCCCCGCCCGGTGCTGAGCAAATACGCAGCCCTCTCGGGCCCACAGCACTGGGGACAGCCCTGGGTGCTCTTCTGCTCTGGCTCGGAGGGGTCCCAGGGTCCCTTCCCAGCTAGAGGGCAGATCCGAGTTTGCGCTGCTTGTGGGATTGTGCAGGATTATGGGGCCTGTCCCTGGGGAGGTGGCAGAGGGGGGTGGGGGTGAGGGCTCTGCGGAAACCCTTTCCTGGGGACCCCGCTCGGGGAGCCTCAGTGCTTCACTGGGCTGGAATCAGCCCTGTCTTCTGCCTGGGGTGTGGCCTTGACAGCTCCCGGCCTCCCAGGGCTTAAGCTGCCCCATCGGTTAATAAGAGGCTCCTGTGGTCTAAGGGGACATGGCAGGGTTGGCCACATCAGCTGTGCACGGCCTCCGTGGCAGTGGTGCATGCTCTTGCTGCTGAAAGAGGACATGTCATCACTCGGTAAAATGAGCCAAAACAAAACAGGGCTTTGACATAACGGGTTGCGGCCAGCAAAGCTGGAATCTCACCTCGACGAGGTCGTCAGTCATTCGACAAGCAGCGAGGGGCGTGTTTGTGCCCAGGCTGTGCTTGGGCAAGCGTGTAGGGATGGGAACCGGACTAATTACCGAAGCACCGCCCGGGAGGCCAGGCAGACCCCTCCCTCGGTGACGCTCGGCCGGGGGTGAAGTTTCCTCGAGCACCCTCTCCGGGGGGCCGGGGTGTCTGGGCAGGAGGCAGGAAGGGGGAAGTGCCCGCCCAGGGGTGTTTGTGTTTGTAAAAGGTTGTCTCTAACAGGCTGCAGTGGTGACACTTTCTGGGACAATGACCTCGGCCATTCTAACATCATGGAGTTTGCATTCGTATCTTGTTTCATTCAGAAAGCCTGGTTCCACAGCGCTCCGTCTCACACAGCAGCGTCTCGAAGCTAAACTTGGTAAACGGAGGTTTTCACGGACTCTCCCCAGCGCCCTTGCACGCAGACAACAGAGTCAGCTCCAAATCTTGCTGTGCGAGGCGGTCGGCGGTTGTTAACAGAACGGCTGTGGACTCGGGGTTGCTCCAACACGCTTGCTTCCCGCGCTTCCCGAGCCACTGACCTTGGGCGGGTCTGCCTTGCTAAGCCCCGTTTTCTTGGTGCTGAAAGAGGGGTGACGGAGGTGCCGTGAGGGTTCAGGGAGATGGTGCTGGACAGCCCGCACGCAGGGAGGTCTCTGCCTGCTGCCCCTTCCACAGGCCTGCCACGTGGGCACGGGGCGGGAGGAAGAGCCCCTGGTGCTGAACCAGGGACCGTGGCGCGGGCTCTGCTAACCTAACCTGTGCGGCCGCGGGAGACCTGCCCCCTTTGCGCAGGCTGTTTCCTCTCTAACACAGATGCCAACATCTATGCAATGTGGGGGGCAGGCTCACGCACGGGGGAACAAGTATTAAATCACCATTCCCTGCGGCAGAGTCCGTGGGCGGTCGGTCACTTCTCCACGTGCAACAGAGAAGCTGGTGCCCAGGGAGGCCGATACACGCCCCAGCAGCCGACACAGCTGTTGACAACTAGGTTAGGGTCCGGGACCCTGCCCCAGCTTCATTTGTGTGTGAGGGACTGGAGCGACCAAGTCCTGCACGGGGCACAGAGCTCAGGTCACAACAGAGGACGCGGTTTCTGGACCCTTTAGCCAGGAGTCGAGCCTCTCCTCTGAGAGTCTTTTCAAAAACAAAAACTGTCCTCTGGGTGTGAGCTTGCCTGTGGGTAATGGTGTGGCACCTCTGGGAACCATGGTCCCACTTTCCTTACTGGGCTGGAAATTCAGAGGTGGCAGCCCCCACCTGTCCCCAGGGCTGCTTCCCCCCCGCCCCCAGCAGCTGAGAGGAGGCACCCGGGAGTCAGAATGTCCTGCTCACGAGCGGGGTCAAGGTCATGCTGATGTTCTGTGTGTTTCTGGGCAGAACCGGTGCTCTCTGCAGCCCCACAGCAGGTGGACGGGCATGACAGGAGTCTGTGGCCCAGGGAGGTCACAAGTCCGCGGTCATCTTCATCTACCGCTGAGTTTGCAGACCTCGTGTACATGGCATTTTCCCAGGGGACTCGCCTGCACTCGGTCCTGCTTCTGCTCCCTGGTCGGCAGAGTCTCTGTCCGCGTCCTACAGGCCTGCGGTCGGGATCCACAGGTCAAATATCTTACCAATACCAAGACATCACATGGGTTTTCACTCATTCTCTGGAGTTTTGTGACGTTGGAGCGGACCCAGGGAGCTCCACCATCCAGCGAGTCGTGACACTCAACACTACAGACCGAGCCCACCCTTTTCACGGAGAGCAGGTGTGACAGTCTGCTACACTCAGATTTGTACCTGGAGATGAAAGCAAACTAAAATCCAGAACTGGTGCAGAGAAGAAACCGAACCAACCAGCCAGTCCCTCCACCGACCAGTCTGCATTCCGGGTGACTCTCCCTGTTACCTGAGCAGGCTCTGACCCTCTGGCTCCCAAGGCCCTTTTGGGGTCTGCGCACCACCTGGGAGCTCCCCACGGGGGGACCCCTGCCCCTCACCCCTGAGGCCTGTCCTGAATACAGGTAAGACAGGACGCGCGAGCGTGCAGGGTGTTCCGATGAGGCTGGAGACGTGTGGGAGCCAGGAGCACTGCCTAAAGACACGCGGACACACGTGCGGGCACAGCAGGCAAGAGGCCACAGAAACCCCGTTCTGCGGTGAGAAGCTTATCAAGGGCAGTCTGAAACTTCCTTCATCTAGGTCTATTGAAAAAAACTCTAGATGCAAACACGTGCAACATCTCCCAACACCCCAAGCAGGGCAAGTCTTCCGGGGGCTCAGGAATCTGCCATCACCTCCCATTAAAAACGGATTCCCTCCCCAGCCCTGATGATGAACGACAGCACAGAAGGCACAAAAGGAAAAGGAAAACCACCCGTAACCCCGCGACACTTCTGCCGGCGCTCTTCCGTGCTTTCAGACCAGCGGCCGCCCCGCCTGGTTGTGTCCTCCTTTTCCGCAGCACCGCGGTGGGCACTGGCCCCCGGGACCTTAGGGCGCTGGGGAAAGGGGAGCGGAGTGCTCCGGGCAGGCGGAGCAGGGCCCCCTCCGCAGGGGTGGGGGAGGACAGGGGCCCGCTGGGAAACCGCTTCGCCAAGTCAGGAGCCCCTTCATTCAGCTCAGAGTGGGCTGCGTGGACGAGCGGGAGCGCCCGCCGCTGGGAGGACGCCTGGCTGTGTAGGGTCAGGGGGCACGGTCAGTGGCTGAGGGACGACTCCCGGAGCCTGAGAGTGGGTGCGAGAAGGCGGAGCCACAGGGCGCGCACGACAGAGGAGACACTGGGCCCGGGTCGCTGGTAAAGATAGCACTTTTAAGTCCCGCCACGGCGGGTCGCAGCCTTCGCGGGGCGCGGGGCGCGGGGCGCGGGCCGGGGCGGGACCCGCAAAAGGGAGCCGGGCGAGCCGGGGAGGGCGGGGCGCCGGGGACGCGCTCGGGGCGCTCGCTACATCATGGGGTACGCGATGACCAGGTAGTTGAGCTCCGCGTCGATGAGTTTCCGGTACTTCCTGTGGATCTCGCGCAGCGTCCGGTCCTCGTCGTTCGTCTCGTATCTGTTCGTGTAGATCCTCACCTGCGCCGGCACCAACACAGGGTGCACTCGGGGGGTCGCCCCCGGAGCCCCGCGCCCCGCGCCCCGCGTCCCCGCCCCGCGCTCCAAGTCCCCGCCCCGAGCCCCGCGCCCCACGTCCCCGACCCGCGCCCCGCCCCGAGGCCCGCGCCCCGCGCCCCGCACTCATCCCAGCTGCCCGCGAAGGGAGCCCCAACTCCGGTCCGCGAAGCCAACCCATCCCCCCCACCGCCCGGGGCACACAGTCGGGGGCGCGCATCCCGGACTCTGGCGGGAGCAGCGCCCGCCCAGCGCCGGCTCTCATCCCCGGCCCGGAGCCTACCTTGAGAGTGCGCAGCGCGCACTGCCCTTCCTCCTGACTCTTCAGGACTCTCTCCACAAACTTGACGTCCAGGAAAGCCCAGATCTTCAAGTACAGCAGCTTCCGGCACGACAAGACCAGCAGGTGCAGCTCCTCGTCCAGGGACTCGTGGTGGTTGTTGAACTCAAACGTCAGTTTCTGGAAAAGCACCAGCGGTACGGAGGTGGGCGGACTGGCAGGGACCCCCGGCTGGGTCACTCCCCCGCAGCCCCGTGGGCCGCTTGCTGTGGTCCAGGGTCCCCCGGAAGAGATGAAGAGACGGGGCACGCACCTGGGGTTCAGAGACCACGGCGCGGGTCCCAGCCCCATGGCCAACTGGCCAGCCACCGTCCCTCGAGCCCCTCCATACACGGAAGGATGGCAATGGCCGAGGTGAGCAGCCCTCCTGATGCTGATGGTATTTATAGGGACTGATAGCAATCACCCAGCCTTCTGTGCGGCCCTTGGGAGGGACAAAACGATCCTGATTGTATCCCCGGGGAAGCTGGCAGGTTAGAGAAGAGCCCACAACTCTGGGCTCCTCAGTGACTTGGTCTCTCTGGTTTGGTGTGTGCTGCTGGGAGCTGCGAGGGGGCCTGCCATCCCCCAGGGAGGCCCCTTCTTGCTCAGAGCGGGCACGCAGGGGCTTTTCTTGGTGGGCAGCCAACCAGAGAATCCCTTGTGTCCCACGCAGATGTGAGCCGCCATCACCTGCCGTGATCTTGGCGGGGGGCGCTGGTCTCTGGGAGCATGCCGGCCCCATCGGGGAGCCTCTCGCCAGTGGGGAGGGGGGACAGGGGACACCGGTGACCTGAGCGGCAGCCGGTCCTCCGTGGCCTCCCAGGCCCCACGCACCTGCAGAGTGTGGCGGAAGGTGGGCAGGAGGTGGGTGAGCGTGGGCCGCATGGACCAGTCGGGGTCGCTGAAGTAGCAGCTCCGCAGGCTGAGGCTGCGCACGGGGACCTCCGGCAGGAGGATGCGGACCAGGCGCTCGTACTTCAGGACGCGCTCGAAGAAGAAGTTCACCTTCAGGTTGGTGGCGTGCCTGGCCAGCTTGGCCCAGGACATGCCCCAGATGACCTGGCCGTGGGGGTCGTGGATATGGCACTTGACGTTCAGGGCCCACAGGGTGCCAGCGCTGCTCTGGCACAGCGCCTCGAGCAGCTCGTCCGACACGCAGCTGTAGTTGAGCGTGAGGGAAGAGAGGCCGCGGAAGGCGGCCATGGTGCTGCGGAAGCGCGCGCTGCTGTACACGGCCAGGTGGTGGCTGAAGAAGTCTTCCAGGTTGAGCTGCGACACAGTGCTCTCGCCGCGTGGGTGGCTCAGGGCGCCCAGCAGCCCACAGCCCTGCTCCACGGTCAGCCGCGCACCCTTGAGGCTCAGGCAGCTCAGGTGCTTCCCCACCTTCTTCAGGAAGCAGCTCAGGCTCTTGAGGAAGGAGCTGCGGGTGCTGCTGCGCCAGACCATGCGGTCCAGCTCCAGGTGCTGCACGGACAGCGACCTCAGACGGCTGTTGTTCCTGCCCAGGCACGACAGGAGGCCCCGCATGGTGACCTGGAACTTCTTGGTCAGGACGGCGTTGTACGGGTTCAGGAATTTGATCTCCAGGTGCTCCAGGTAGCGGCCGAACTTCTTGACGTACCAGAGCGCGGACGCAAACTCCGACGCGTGCACCCGGGAGGGCCGCCCGCTGAACGTGATGGTCCTGTACCTCCACAGGTCGGCCGAGAACATCGCCTGGTTCCACTTCCTGCAGACCAGCGCGGCCCGGGACCGGTCCCTGTCTCCCAGCCACCAGAAGATGCGCCGCAGGCACACATCGGGCAGTCTGGCCCAGCAGCCCTGGTCTTGGGGCGGGGGCGGCTGGCTGTCTTCGTCCATCGAGGAACTGGGGTGTCCGCAGCAGCCGTGTGCTAGGCAGGGCTTCCAAAAATGAGGAAAGAAAAGCAGTCACTCCTTTTCTGTGGGAGTAGAAAGGAAGAACCGTTACTCACCTAGCGGAAACGAGACCCAGTGAAGGGACGCATGCTCTGCGTGGGTAGCAGGCCCTGTGCGGGCGCAGGTGGGGACCGTCATAGAGCTGCCTGGCAGGGCACCCCTGCAAGGACTCGGTCTGCCGGGGGAGCCCCCTGGGGTCCCACCTCGGACACAGTTACAGCACGGCGGGAGACATGAGAAGGCTCGGGTGTGTTTGCGGTGCAGGGGGCACAAATGGGATGATTAATTCTGTCTGGGGAAGGAGGGGGTGGACGGGGCTGCTCAGAGGAGGTGGCCCCCGGGCGGGGCTTTGCAGGGTGAGTAGGAGCAGCAAGGCCGACCAGCTTGGAAGAGGAACCATTGCACTCTGGCCAGAGGGAACGATCGTACAGAGCCGCGGGCAGGGGACCGTTCGGGACGTGTGCACATGCAGGGAACTAAAAGTTGTTTGGGGCTTCACTTGTAAGGGGCGGGAGTGTGGGAGCTGGAGCCGCGGGACGTGCCGCTGGGTCAGGGGGCCCCGAATGATGGGATAGAGGCCATGTCCAGGGCACCAGGGGCTCCCCAAGTCCTTGGAATCCTGACACATGGGCCCCCTTCCCAGGATGAGAATCACTGGCTTGCTGGTGGCTGTGTTTGCTTCCAAGAGGGTAGCAGTAGGTCGAGCATCAGGGGTGAAGAGCCTCAGCTGAGGCCCCAAGGGGCCAGGCAAGGTCACAGGGTCACCTGTCCGGAAGCGATGTGGTCAGTCTTGAGATACAGAAAGGGCCCTCCAGGGCAGAGGAAGGAGGACGGCTCAGAGCAGAGTGCAGGCTCCAAGCCTGGAGCCAGGGCTGCGTGACTGCGGGAGTGGATGGGTTTGTGAGTTCCCTGCAGGACACGATTTGGAAACTGGGTCCTGAGGTGGGGAGCCCTGGAAGGTCTCTGAGCTGCCCGAGTTGGCCACCGCATCGCACATGGTCCCTCGGCCAGGCTGGGGAGGCCCGGGGAGCGCCAGGCCTGAGCCAAGCCCTTGGAATTTCTAAAGCCATCTGCCGAGGTCTTCACGACCTGATTTCAGTGTTTCCCGGCCTGAAAATGCTTCTTCCCTTTACCACTCCCCTGCCCCCGTCTTCAGGTGGAAACCCTACCGCTCCGTCATGCTTTCAGTGGTGACTCCACCATGTGGCCCAGGATTATCGTAGCTCATAAAAACACAAAGCTGGAGGAACTCTGAGAATTATGTCTTTACAGATGGAAACTGAGGCCCAGAGAGGTGAAGGGGCTTGCCTGTGGTCACACAGCATGTCGGTGACAGGCCTCAGGAGCTGAGGGACACGTTAAGCATAGTTCTCAGCTTAGGACAGACATTTGTGCAAGAACTCTCTTCAGTTTTACTCCTTTGGTGTCCTTGTCTACACTGGTGTCCTTGTCTACACTGGTGTCCCCGCCTGCATGCACTGACCCGTTCTGACGTGTCTCACATGGGTCTGTGCCTGTGCTCACCCTCCTACACTTTCCCTCCACGCCCACGAGACAGTCACCAGCCTCCAGCTGGTTCTCCCATCTCCAGATCTAGACAGACTTCCCCATGGGCTCTGGCACGGCATCCGCGGGGTCCCAGGGACACTGCCTGCCCTGCCGCCTTCCCCTTCCCCTCTTGCCCATGTCTGTCCCTCAGTGTAACCTTCGTCCCAGCCTGCGTCACCCCTGAGATGTGGGACAGCCTCATTCTTCTGAGCAGTCCCTTCACATTTAACAAACGAAGAGGGAGGGCCGTTGCTTCATTCACGGAAGGCGCCTGTGGCTGGGGGACCCCTCAGGGCTTAGCGTGGAGCAAGGTGCTTGAGAAAAGCCAGATCAGTCCCCAAGCTTGACACGAAGGCTTTGTCCTCAACACGAAGTCACTGGTCGGAGGAATCATCAGACACGTGAAGCCACAGCGTGGTGTCGGGAGAACGTATCTGGCAGGCGGGGAAAGCTGTGGCAAGTGGTCCCCAAGCCCTGGTCCTTACTGGCAACATCCTCCCTCCCCATCTACACCTCCTGGCCAGCCAGAGGCACGGGAGCTTGGCGGGTTGGGCCCCGGTTCTGTCCATTGCTATGTACGGCCTGCGGCAAGTTAATTTCCCTTGTGCCTCAGTTTCCACATCTGCAAACCAGGGATGAAAATGGTGCCCCTCTGTGTTGGGAGGATTCCATGAGCCTGATGCTTGCGTGGAAGTCGCCCCAACAGTGCCTGGCACATAGCAGACGCTGGACCTGTGGCGATGCCAAGACATTCTGCAGGATCCCCTGATGGGAGGTGGGGACCCCCAGTTTACAGATGGGGAAACAGAGAGCTGAGGAAGGCTCCCAGCGAGCACCCTAATAAGTGCGGAAATGGGATTTCAACCCACCCCCACGCCAAGGGCTCTCGGGCTGAGTCCTGCCCGCCAGCCCCAGAGCTGCCAATCTGGGAAGGAAGCCTAAGGACGTGCCACCACCCGCAGCCGGAGGTGCCCGAAGACGCAGGCTTCTAAGGGGAGGCAGAGGGGCCCGTTACCCTCTCGCCGCGCCCCGCTCGCTGCGCCCCGTTTGGGCTGCGGGGACCGCGAGCCGCCTGCCTGCTCCGCCCGCGCCGCCTGCGCTCCGACGCCGACTCTGCGCACGGCGGGACGCGCGCCCTCGCTGGGGATGAGCGCCGAGGGCGGCCGCCTTTGTGACGCGCCGCCCTCCGCCCTGCTCCGCCGGGCCTCCGCTCTTCCCCCCGGCGCGCTGCGCTGGGGCCCAAACCTGGGGTCTTCAGAGCCGCCGACCGTGCGTGGAGAGGGCAGGACCGGCCCGGCGCGGGGTGTCCCGGAAGGCTCCCGGGGCCAGGGCCGGGGGCGAAGGAGCGGGGGTGTCCGGGGACCTGGTCCCGGGGTCCCTGGAGGTTGCGGTGCGAGGGTGCAGGGGGGTCCGGGGTCCATGAGGGTTCTGGGCTCCGGTGTGTGGGTGCGCGCCCACGCGCGCCCACGCGCGCCCACGCGCGCACGTGTCTGAGCGTGGTAGAGGAGGTTCGGGCATGGCAGGGCGTTGGGGGGTTGGGGTGGGAGGGTGACTGGAGGTTGGGGTACGAGTGTCCAGGATCCAGGGGTCCGTGGGGGGGCGTTGGGGATGGGGAGGGGTAGGCTCAGGCACCATGGGGAGTGGAGGGACCCGGGGGAGGGGAGGGGACTGAGGCCAAGGCCCAGGGGGCTGGGGCTGGGGAACCAGGAGACAGGGACTCTGGCGGTGGGGTGCAGGGTCTGAGGAGATCTGGGAGGGCCTGGGGTCTGGCGTATGGTAGGCTCGGGGACCTGGGTGCTGGAGTACTGCGGTTCCATAGGCAGGGGTCCCTGGGGGCCAGGGGCTGGGGAATCCATGGGGGATCCCCACAGGGCCCGGGAGGCAAGGGTGTCCAGGGATGGGGGTTCAGTCCAAGAGGAGGGGCGCTAGGGGGTGCTAGGGTGAGTGTTATTGGGGGCCCGAGGGTCCAGGGTCCAGGGCGCCAGAACTAGAGTGGGACAGGGGTACAGATCCAGGAAGTTGGGAGAAGGGTTTCTGCACCAGGGGGAGCAGGGGGCATGTGTGATGGGAGCCTGGGGGCTTGGAGTCGGTGGGGGGGGAGGCAACTGGGGTCTGGGGTCAAGGGAGCCAGGAGATGGGGAAGGGATCCAGGATCCAGGAGGGCCACAAGGGCTGGGGGCAGAGAGTGTGGGGTGGGGCAGGTGGTAGGGGCTGGGTCTGGGGCCAGGGGTCTGCTCCGGTGGTGGGGCTGGGGGCCGCCTTCTTCCTGCCCTTTCCCTCTCCACCCCGGGAAGAGGTTGTGCGGGAGCCTGGGGCAAAGGCCTGTGGTTGTGGCTCAGCCCTGGACCTGTGGGAAGGGGCGCTGTGCTCAGTGGCTTCCACTTCCCCAACTCAGACACGCCCCACTTGGCCAACCAGACCCACCTGAGGTCCAGGCTTGAGAACTGCCCACCTTCCCAGTGTGAGAGGGTAGGCGTGTCTGACACACCAACTCTCCCTGGCCCTCCCCTCCCCGCCAGCCCTAAGGGGTGTCCCCAAAGGTCAGGCAGAAAGGGGGGCTTGCCCTGTGGGGATGCTGCATCTGGGAGACTGGCCTTTCACCAACAGCTCCAGGGCTCGCTGGGGGCCTGCAGGGGGCACAGCCTCTCCTCTCTCCCCCTCTCTGTTTCTGCCTTTCCCTCTGCTCTCCCCCTCCCATCCCCCACATCTGCCCCACCTGCTGCCGTCTCTAACCGGAAAAGACCAACAAGCAATCTTAAAGAAAGGTGGACAGACTTCAGGGAGGGTGTTTTTATTCCCCAGGGACAAGCCTGGGTTCCCCCTTGGGCCGGGACCGTGGGGTCCGGATGCTCGGTCGTGGGGCCTGACACCTGGGAGTGTCCGGTGGGAGAGCTGGAGCCCTTTCTTCTCCTGGCTTGTCTGTCGCTTCGGGCATACCGACATCTCCGTCCAAAAGAAGGAAATAGTTAAAACCCAACCTTTTCTCCTAAAAGGAAGGAACCTAAAGAAGAAAACCCATCTCTTCTCACGGGCAGGACTGCCGCAGAGAGTGCGCGGGAAGCCCCGGTAACGTGCCATCTTCTCCGTCCGCAGTGGCTGTCCGCTCCACGCCAGCGGAGCGTCTCATGTGGTTTCCCTTCGGGGAAGCTCTCCCGGTTTCCTCACCCCTCAAGAAGTGGGTGTAGAAGCGTTTGGTGTGTTTGCAGAGGAGGAGACAGGTCCTGGCCATCTCTGCCTATCAGCGTTGACCCGGTTCCCAGAGCACAAACCCTGAGCCACAGACAGCATCGATGAGGCATGGGGGGACCTTCTGGGTATCTGGGGACTTCATGGGTGGCCTGGGACGGTGTTAGAGGCCTGTCTTCACGGGGTGGGGGGGCAGATTAGAGAAGACC